TTTGGTCAATTTTTAATTGTCCAGGGCAATAAGGTCTTCTAGAGACTCGGGAACCTCACCCGGGCCCAGCTCATCTTTCAAAGGGATCGGAGAGCCCCATACGGAACTGGTGCAGCAGAGCAAACTCGTTACAGCGTGTGTCCCCACATCCACTGCCTGAAATCAGAGGAGTATTCCTGCTGCCCGCCGGCCCTGTCGGAACGCATATAAGGTCGCTTCGGCAGAGGCTGCCCGCTGTGGGTCATCATACAAGATGGCCATCGCTTCAAAAAAAACTACTGACCGATCCCAGATGAGGATCATTGTTTCCCCTTAACCGGTGGGCCCAATCCTGGGGGTTCACCCTGCAATAGTGAAATGATGAATCCTACTTTCACATTTTCGGTCAGAAAGGTACGGGGTTGTAGCTCAAAGAACAGGAGACAGGAATCACGGAATGACCGGAAGCGTGTGCGGTCCCGTGAAAACGCTCTGGTAAGGGTACCCGGGGTTCCGCCATAGGGAGCAAGGTGGAAGCCACTGAGACTGGCTCCTGAGCTACAGGGCCGGGGGTGCAGAAACGGAGCCTGTGGGGCAGGGTCAGATATAGAGCAAGTCTGGAAGCGATTCTCCAGCTGCATACATCTGTCCTGCAGGGCCGTTACGGCCTGCGTCAAATTAGCTAGGTGCCTGCAAATTTCCTCTAGCGGGGAGGGGCCCTCCTCTAGGCTCAGTCATGGCCTCCTGGCACTGTAGGGGACCGCCCGGCGGTACCACTAGCACTCCACATGATCGGTCGTTCCCAGCGTACGGAGTCTAAGCCCCAGAGTACTTGTTCACCAGAGCCCCTGATGGTGGGGATGGACTTGGGAGTACCCCGGGACCAGGTCGTGACTACTGAGGACACCCGTCAGTGGTAGGGGTATTCGCCAGGGGGCTCCCACGGGAGAGAGCCAGGTATGAGGAGGTCTGGAGACCCCGTTGAGAGGGATGGATGGATGGATGGCTGAGCAAGTGCAAGGTCATACAAGCCGGGTCGGTAACTATGGGGACGGTGCGGTACAGAGCAGCGGGCAAAGGAATAGTCGGGTCACACGCCAGGTCAGCAACAGCAGGTCAGATCCAATAGGGGGCAATCAGGAGAGAGGTCAGGCAAGCAAGGGTCAAGAACAGGAGAAGCAGCAAGGTCAGGGCACAATCCGGGTCAATAACTTACTTTTAACAGGTTCACAGGTACACAGGATTCAAGAGACCAGAAGGCACTGAATGACAGCTCAGGGCCGTTTAAATATCCCGCCTGCGCTGTCATTGGTGCCAGGCGCGCGCCCGCGGTTCCTACTGCGCATGCGCGAACTTGATTGCCGCGGTCGGCCAGGTCCCGGCGCTCGCGTCCCTGCACAGGGCAGTGCACTGCGCCTGCACCGAGCCCAGCGCCGCAGCGATCCCCGACACCACCCCAACATCTGGCTTGGATTTTTCTCCCTGACATTCGACCAATATCACCAATCTGGCAGAAGGCAAAAGCTCAGCATTCAAGAGACTCTTGTCTGCCCTGAACTCTACAGAACTTCCTTTTTGTTTTGCTACTTAGGTCTTCTTGGTCCTTATGGGGCTTAATGTTTCTACCTGCACGTTTTATTGTTCTGACTTAAAGATAATGTAAACCCAACATGTCATATTCCTGATATGTGCCTGCTGTACCATATACTTGTATCAAAAAGTATCCTGTTCTCTTTGTATTGCATGGTCAGCAGAACTCAGCCTGCTCTCCTCCAATGATCAGACTTGACCTGACACCACCCCCACCTCCTGCACAGCCATTCACTGGGAAGTTTAGTGTATTGCTGTTTCTCCTCCCCCCCTGCTCTTATGTAGCTGAGAATAGAGGGAATGTGATCACTTATCAAAAAAGAAAAAAAAGTCGTTATAATTTTTTTATACATATGTACAAATTTTTTGTCTTTCATTTCTATTTTTTAAACTGAATGGGTTGATTACAAGGTGAGGGTTTATATATACTTTAACTGTACGTTTATACTTATTTACCCCTCTAGTACATTTATGTTTTATTTATACGTTTCTGCTATACAGTGGTTTACTTTCTACCCCTTAATGTTAGTCTGTAGTTGGCCACTAGACCTGGCATGCATGGTCCCCTTTTTCTTTAGTCATAGCTTTATACATATCTGTCTGGGATCTTTGACTGTCTTATAGCTACCTGTCCTGTTTAGTATTTGTATCTAAGCTAGTTGATTACCATTTTTCCTTTCTGCCCTGATTCAAGTTTTTTTGCCCTTGTTATGATGGGTGGTGGGGGATTTGTCTACTTCTCACTTAATTCACTGGAGTGGGTTTTAGTTTTTTTGTGTTTCACTTACAGTAATTTTGTTGGCTAACTTTGATTGACTGGTAAAAGCTTGCTGTCGTGCCTCCCCGCTTGATCAAATGCTTAGATGCCTCTGGGTCTCAGCTCAAGCCATACAGCTCAAAAACATAAGGTGTATGCTATTTTGTTCATGGCCAGACTCACACTTTTGCTGACCCTGGGCCACTGCTTGATTTCCCTGTGTGCTGTCTGTTTTCTTTCTTTTTTTATCACCTCTCTCTATTTTCTTTGAACCTAAATGATCTCCTCTCTTGCAGATGGATGAATTACCATCTCATGTGTCATCGTGGAGTGAATGGTCTCTGCAATCATGGGGTTTGGTGAATACTGCTCTGTTAGATTTAAATATCTTTCTCCTGGCCAATAACTATGGCTAAATCTATGCTTTTTCGTATCATTCACATAATGCCCAAGATCATAGCTCCCTAATAATACTATTATTTGCAACAAGCTCTGCTCTTACTCCAGGATACTCATTTCCCACCTTCCTACAAATCCTTTTTTCACTATAAACATTATCCATTTTTTTACTTGGCTAATGCCGTAGTCAAGGCTAAGGGAGTGGCGGCTCTACTAAGCAGCATTTCCACTATATTTTGTGGGAGTGCCTTAAAATCAGAGCGTTCTGGAATGGTATTTTTTCCTTGCTTCGGCAGGTAATGGGCTTACGTACACAACAGCCACAACTCGCTTTACTAAAGCAACCTGTGTCTGATGCACCTAACAGCTAGCAGAGGGTGGCATTTTTCATTCTTCTTATGCATAAAAGCACGATAGCAAGAAAAATCCTCAATTTCCTTAACTTCAGCCAAACACAAAATTTCATGGATCATGGTCCATGAGAGGTTTGCTAGTGTAATTAATGATAAGGTGAAGCAATTAAAAAAAACATGGGGTCCATGTGCTGAGTTTATAAACATTCAGCTTGATGATTAACCCGCTGTAGAATTATTCAGTAACGAAAATCTCTAGCTCTATCTTCTCCTTTCCTTATTTTTCTTTATTTACTGGTTTCTCTTTTCTTTGCCTTTCCTCTCTAACTGTTGACCTAATGGGACATTACCTTTATGGCACTAACTGTCAGTCTGAGCTTCACAATACTTTATGCTGAATCACTCCCCCAACCATTTGTGCATTATATACATTGTTTGTTGGTTTCTTTTGCAATGTGTATGCAAAATTACTGTAACTCCTGTTCTGAATTTTTGTACAAAGCTCCTCCTATTTACTGCTTAATAAAATTATTGAATATAAAAATGGTATCCAACTGGGATTAAGTAGATATTTAGATACCATTTTACAGGCCTTTGTATTAACTTTGACATCATAGTTTATTACACTGGAATAGGCATCATAACTAGAGATGAGCGAAGTATTCAAAAATTCGATTCGACTGATTCGGCGAATTCGTGGAAAAATTTCGATTCGAGTCGAATATATTCGCTGCGAATTTAACTTATAAAAGGGTGTTTCTAGGCTTCAGAGAGCCTTTATATTAGTGCAGAACACTATACCTTTAATTTAAATGCCCTTGGAGTCTGCTGGGGAAGAGAAATAATACTGACAGTCAGTATGACATGCAGATGAGTGCCGTCGATCTTAGAATCACCGCACACTTCACTCATTTGGGCAGTCACGGGGCCAAAACCAGAGTGTGGAGCCACAGTGTGGCGGTGGAGGCAGCAGCAATGGGAGGCCATACAGCACCCTATGACAAAAATGGAAATCACCAGCAGTGTGAGGAGACCTGAAAGTGGCACATGGCGGAGTGTGGCGATGGAGACAGCAGCAATGGGAGGCCGTACAGGGACCCATGACACACTCTGGACCTGGCAGCAGCATGAGGAGGCGGTACAGGGGCCCATGACAGATTACGGGCCTGGCAGCAGCATGAGGAGTTGGTACGGGGGCCCATGGCAGATTACAGACCTGGCAGCAGCAATGGGAGGCCGTACAGGGACCCATGACACACTCTGGACCTGGCAGCAGCATGAGGAGGCGGTACAGGGGCCCATGACAGATTACAGGCCTGGCAGCAGCATGAGGAGTCGGTACGGGGGCCCATGACACACTCTGGACCTGGCAGCAGCATGAGGAGGCGGTACAGGGGCGCATGACAGATTACGAGCCTGGCAGCAGCAACTTGGACAGGAGGACGTTCAGCTTCTGCACCGTCGGGTGCGTGCTCGCAAACTGTTGTCTCTTGGAAACGGATTCCAAGAAAGACTGCTGACGGAATCCGTGAAAAGGAGTAGCAGGAGAAGGAGCATCTGAACGAGCGGAATATGCCAACAAGCCACAACAGGGGCCCATGACAGATTACGGGCCTGGCAGCAGCATGAGGAGTCGGTACGGGGGCCCATGGCAGATTACGGGCCTGGCAGCAGCAATGGGAGGCCCGTAATCTGCCAGCACCCTATGACAAAAAATGGAACACACCAGCAGTGTGTGAGGAGACCTGAAAGTGGCACATGGCAGAGTGTGGCGATGGAGACAGCAGCAATGGGAGGCCGTACAGGGACCCATGAGAGACTCTGGACCTGGCAGCAGCATGAGGAGGCGGTACAGGGGCCCATGGCAGATTAGGGGCCTGGCAGCAGCTATGGGAGACCCGTAATCTGCCATCACCCTATGACAAAAAATGGAACCCACCAGCAGTGTGAGGAGACCTGAAAGTGGCACATGGCAGAGTGTGGCGATGGAGACAGCAGCAATGGGAGGCCGTACAGGGACCCATGAGAGACTGTGGACCTGGCAGCAGCATGAGGAGGCGGTACTGGGGCCCATGGCAGATTACGGGCCTGGCAGCAGCAATGGGAGGCCCGTAATCTGCCAGCACCCTATGACAAAATGGAACCCTGGGCTGGGGCAGGCAGAACCGCCGTATCTTTATCACGGTTTTCCCAGGCCACCGAATGGCGACGCTGCATATGCTGACGCAACGCTGTAGTCCCAACATGGGCCCCCTGGCCACGCTTGACTTTCTGGCCACATAGTCGACATACGGCTACGTTTACTTCCTCGGGCGGCTTGACGAAAAATTGCCACACCGCCGAATAGGAAACTTTGCCCCCGCTACTCCTCACTGGCTGACTGCTACTTCCTCCGTGCACACCGGCACCACTACTGGCCGTGGTGGTAGGCTGCAGTGGAGCTGGTGCTCTACTCCGTGGCCGTTTGCCTCCACTGACACTGCTGCGACCCTGCTGCCTCCTGGCAGCAGCAATGGGAGGCCGTACAGGGACCCATGACACACTCTGGACCTGGCAGCAGCATGAAGAGGCGGTACAGGGGCCCATGGCAGATTACGGGCCTGGCAGCAGCAATGGGAGGCCCGTAATCTGCCAGCACCCTATGACAAAAAATGGAACACACCAGCAGTGTGAGGAGACCTGAAAGTGGCACATGGCATGAGACACTGTGGACCTGGCAGCAGCATGAGGAAGCGGTACAGGGGCCCATGGCAGATTAGGGGCCTGGCAGCAGCTATGGGAGGCCCGTAATCTGCCAGCACCCTATGACAAAAAATGGAACACACCAGCAGTGTGTGAGGAAACCTGAAAGTGGCACATGGCAGAGTGTGGCGATGGAGACAGCAGCAATGGGAGGCCGTACAGGGACCCATGAGAGACTCTGGACCTGGCAGCAGCATGAGGAGGCGGTACAGGGGCCCATGGCAGATTACGGGCCTGGCAGCAGCAATGGGAGGCCCGTAATCTGCCAGCACCCTATGACAAAAAATGGAACACAACAGCAGTGTGAGGAGACCTGAAAGTGGCACATGGCATGAGACACTGTGGACCTGGCAGCAGCATGAGGAGGCGGTACAGGGGCCCATGGCAGATTACAGGCCTGGCAGCAGCAATGGGAGGCCCGTAATCTGCCAGCACCCTATGACAAAATGGAACCCACCAGCAGTGTGAGGAGACCTGAAAGTGGCACATGTTTGGGGCATGATTCATGGCGGATTTAGTCAGTTGTGTCAGGAACTTGTGGTTTGAAATCCAGACTAATCCACGCCTGATTCATTTTCACAAACGTGAGTCTCTCCACACTTTGGGTGGACAGTCGTGTCCTCCGCGGAGTTACAATACCTCCTGCCGCACTAAACACGCGCTCCGATGCCACGCCACTGGCCGGGCATGACAGCCTTTCAAGGGCAAATTCAGCTAGTTGGGGCCAAAGGTCAAGTTTCATTGCCCAGTAGTCAAGGGGATTGTCTACCTCGGTTGGCAGGGTGCTGTCCAAGTAGGCCTAAGCCTGTTGTTTGAGGTCCTGCTCCAGGTCCACCTGATGCTGCTGCTGCTGCGGCTGGTTAGTAGTTTCCTCACTGCGCTGGTGAAGAAAGCTACTCATCATCGACTGCAGACTGAGGCAGCCGCTGCTGGTGGAGCTGCCACTGCTCCTACCACCCCACACCCTCCCCTGCTGCCATGGCA